AGGAATGCTGGGGAGTGGGTTGAGCCAGCATGCCTGTATGGCAATGGGGCAGGATGGGTGCAGAATGCCAGCAAGCTGCACGGGCCTCACGCTGGCCAAAAAGAAAGATGTGGAAAGGTGGGCGTACCTGTATGTAGGTCTTGGTGAGAGTGGTGATAAATTTGGAAGCTGAGTTGTGAAGACTGGTATGACAAGGGTTATAAAAAGAAAGAGGAGGACAAGAATAAAGCTTGAAACTGATACCTTTTCTTTTAACGCACCTTGTTTCTTTGATTACCAGATACAACAGGAGTGCCTTAAGATACTTGTACAGTCTCTGGCTTCTCCAGAGTAGTGTAGAAAGAGAATGGAAGCAATAAACTGTAGAGAAAAGATGCCATAGCAAGTATCCTGACAACAGTTGTGGAGGATGTTGAAGCTGTATGTCAAATAGTTTCAGAAAATGAACAGGAACCTCTATGACTAAGAATAACTAGTGAGTTTCCATACGTTTCAAGGCACAAATGGATGCAACATTTTTGCCTGGTAACTCTTACCAGGCAAAATCCTTATTGTAATTGGCTTTTTAAATAAAATTATCTGTTCTGGTCCACATGGATTTGGCCAGTGCCTTCCAGTTAATTAGCATCAGGCAGAAATCTCTCTTTCCTGCCCATATGGAGTTTGCATTTTGAGAACTGAAGGAGGTGGAGAAGGCAGAAAGGAGGAAGATGGAAGGATGTGCTTTCTTCAGAGGCTACAGACACCCACCAGTGGTCAAAAGAGAATGTAAAACACAGTTGCTCTTTAAGGCATTAGTGGTCATTAGAAATTGCCTTATTGTAAGTGTAAAATGCTTTTCTGAGACAAGTGATGTTCAGTGTGTTAATACTGATGCTGTTACTGCAACCAAACATTAGAGGAAAAAATACTGGTAATACCCAACAAATTCTTATTCCCTTCATTACAAAATCTTTGTCCTCTGCTCATATATTTCACCTAAAGAAATTATTTCCTTCTGTTTAGAGAGCATTAATTGATAAACTGTTCCTTGCTTGCTGTTACGCCTGGTTTAGGAAGTCAAAGGCTGGATGAATTGTATGAGCCATGGTACGTTCACCTGACAGTTAGTTGGCCTGACAAATAATCTACCATAAAACAATTCAGATCTGAATTTCCAGACCTTAATTACTCCATGGTAAAGTGCCCAGACCACTCTTACCCTGCAGCAAACTAGTTTTATCTCTCTTTCATTTAATCAAATGTTATTCATTCAAACTGAATGAAAGAGCAGTATCCATTTGCTGCAGGATATATATGCACAAAAACAGTTAGGGCTTAGCTGTTCTGTCTATGCAAGTTCATACTTTAGCTTACCTCCTCATAGTGTGTTTACAAGACTATATCCTAGGGATGGGGTATAGAATGAATGGGCAAGTCAAAGCATCCATTAACCTTGAGAAAGACTAGAACAATATTCCCCCCTTTTACTGTGTGTCAAAAGCCTTTCTTCTCTATTACACCTTTGATACAGCTCTCCCATTAGCCATTTGCCCTTCTCTAGGTTTTAACAAGAGACACAAAATAGTGTTTATTGGTTTTGTCTATGCAAAGACAATCTCAAACTGTCCCTGGATGGCTTCCTTGAGTGACGGTATGATTCGAGTTTCAATTCTTTCCTGTCCTGGTATGCTCTTTTTTTGATATATCTACAAGTTTAGTGATGCCAGGAGGAAACAGTTCAGAGCTGGGATTTCCACAAGTTGTTTTATTTAGTGATAAAAAGGTCTGTAAGGTCTGGCCTCTGTAAAGACTGCAACATTTCTTAAATCTACACAATGTTTAGCCTTGTGGATGGGGCTCTACAGAGACATATCATCCTCATAGCTATTAACCCACCAGCCAAATCTCTGCTATGTCAAAAGTAGAAGCAGGGTCTTGCCTGAGACTAGTGTGAGCAAGCTTTAAGAAAACACCTCCTTTTAATCTTTTATGTCCTTACACCATGGCACAGACCTTTTCAATCATACCTATTTTCCTTATATGCAAATATTAAGATAATAAATTACTAGGAAAGCTAAATCAAAAGATTTCTACGGTACCTCAGTATTCATTATTCAGACTGACATCATTATTATTCTTATCTGCTAAATGCTACTTTTCTTCCTACCACTTTGTTCTCCTTTCAATCTCCTTTAAAATTGCATTACAAAACGAGAACCTCTTGGCAGCTTCTGCCTTGATCCTAAAATTTAAACATGAGAGAAAGTAATTGGGAAGGAAGAACTATCATGGTACTGGGGATGATGAACATTCACTCTTAATTATACATTGTGTGTAATAGTAGAATACATGGCCCAGAAGGTTGCTTTTTAAGTATCTGATATTCAAAAGCTTTATCAAAAGATTTTCAAATATTTAAATGGACTTGTGCCACAAGTAACATGGAGATCACACATTAAGACATAAAAAAATGCTTAACTGTTGTTTACAGAGAGGCATTTGTACTTCACTTTTTCCCCTCCTCTCTTTCTCCCAAGAGACTTGATATACTACATACATTTAATAATACAATAATAATTTAATAATAATAATTTAATTAATAATTAATAATTTAATTAATAATTTAATTAATAGTTTAATTAATAATTTAATACAATAATAATGATGTCAGTTCATTGCTGACTGCATGCCTGCCTTCTGTTCTAAGCAGTTCAAGGAATGAGAGAAAAATTACACTTTCCCACAATAACTTATTTTCAAGACAATTTAGCACAATGGAAAGCTTTCTCTTAACTACAGTTTCAGAGACTGAGACACAATACATATTGTTACCTTTCAGCAGTGCTAACAGAAACTTATAGGGGTACCATAAAAATAAAAAGCTGAAACAACAGAAGAAAACAAGGAATTGCTATTAGGAAGCAATAATGGTTACATTGTTTTCATTCAAACATACGAAAAAATGCTGTTATCTTGAAGTTAATTAAGCAATGGGAATAACAACTTTTCCAGATGTGTAAAAATATGCTGCATTTGGCCATGTTGAAAATAATAAGGGAATTTAAAATTTAGACCCCGAAAGTGGTATTTAGCCTTTGATAGGTAGCTAGCTACCTGACAAACATTGCCAAACCAGGAACAGAGTAAGTAGACTGAGAAATGTTTTGTGACATCACTGTACACTTATACCAACTGGATTTGAGGAAGGGACACAAGCCCTTCCCTTCTGTAATAGGAATAAAAGTTCTAAATTAAAGGAATATACAAATCCCCCACACCTATTCCCCAAATCTCAGCCAATTTGTCAGCAATGCTGCTTCATATCCTGTAGCAGGAAGTAAAAAAATACACCTAAAAAATTCTTGATCTGGGGATTAATTGCTGTCAAATTTCACACAATCAGATATTTCCATTTTCTCTTGAGTACTCTAGGCACTTCTTCATTCCAAAGGTTTGGCAAGTTTTAAATACTTTCATTTCAAATGCTTTAATTCCCTCTTACTTCTATTCTCTGTCAAGCTTTCCTTTGACAGGGTCCCTGCTATCACTTCTTTGCATGGCTAAGCTACAACTTCTTCACTTATGACTGACAAGATTAACTGCTGCTGCAAACTGGTAGTTCAACAGTTAAGGGAAGAATGCAGTAATGAAGAAAGAGAAAGACTTGGGTATTGTAGGAGTAAGTATGGGCCACTAATATAAGTCCACTAGAGGTTGTATTGAGGTAATTTCCATTTGTACTAAAAAATGATTGTTAGAAAATGTTGAGGAATGCTGTTGCTGTTTGATTTTATGGGTCATGATATTATCCTGCATCCACCATATGAGTACAGTTAAGGATAAAGGGGTTTGTGGCTGAAACAAGGATGTGCAGAAGATGAAAGTAAATGAAATTGAATCTCAGAACTATAATCTGTATTAGCATACAAGTGCAGGTAAACCCTTGAAAGGTACTAACAATATATGACTCATCTCATTTGACAGGTGAAAGGACAGACTTGTGAAAATACATTAAATTTGCAAGTCAAGTCACATTTTATCTATTTGATCTTCAAATAAAAAGCAATACAAAAAAATATTAACCTAATGGAAAGACATCAGAAAAACAAAGCAAAACTTATTTTGTTTCTTTTTATTGCAACTTTCCAAACCACGTGAGAGGTGAAAATGGATTCCAATAATGATATAGGTGAGACAGACTTAATTCTATATCATCTTAGAGTGGTGAGACAGACTTAATTCTATTATATCTTAGAGTATGGGAGTAATGTTCCAAAGCATTCTCCAGAACTCAGGCCTTAGCTAACCAAGACTGTCAAGAATTCCCTGGGACAGTGAAAAAGCTAAGGATATTCCCCCTAATAAGCACGCTATGGAAATAACTCAAATTTCTATTGATTTTAAGTTATCTCAAGTCTGTCTTTGACATTGTCTTGAAGGAGCTCTTAATTTTAGGCAACGTTGTAGGACTTTTTGACACTTAACTGTTTTTATACAAAGCAACAGTCACCAAATGACTTAAAATTGAAACCAAAATCTCTTTGAGCAATGTACACTCTTCATTACCTATACATGACTACTGTTTTCTGTGTGAACAATGACGTTCAAAACTAAAGCAACTTTTAAACTTAACAAAGAAACCTTTAATTGCAAGGAAAAAAAAAAAAAAAAAGCTAAACAAACCCCCAATATATAATTACCTGGTTGGTAGAAGTTTGGTGAAAGTTCTCTGGCAACTCCTCTTGCAATATCAGATTCCTGGCGAGCAGCCTGAGCAGCCTGATCCGCAGCATCAGCTTTAGCTCTTGCATGGGCAGTTCTGTACAGAGTAGAAAACAGTTTATAAGCAGAGGAGTCTTTTATGAGTTGCATCAATAATGTGAGAGCAAAGGACTACTGTCTTCAGCTACTATACCCTCTATTGTATAGTGCACTCTTATGTCCACTTGCTGTGAGTTACTGCAAATCAAAGTATTTCAGAATCAATACATTATTCTTCTCAGTTATTCACTCCTGCTGATCTTCCTATCACATTTTTTGTAGGTAAACAATTTACAGCCTAAGCTTATTATTAAAATTTCTAAATAGAAAAAACCAGGATCTGATCAAAACTTAGGGTTTTTATTTCAATACACATTACCTGAATGTGTACAGAAGTGTATAGAAGGTCAGACTGGGTTGACACTGACTACTAAATAGGGATCTGGGAGACCAGGATACAGTGTTCAAGAGGACTGTGGAACGCTATTACCTTTACTACATTTTGAAGTTAGTGATCAGTGCTGGGTGCCACATAACATTTTTTGAGGGGCAAAACTGAAGTACATCAGCCCAAAAAACTGAGAAATGTCTTCCACAATCAGACCATGTTGGAAAGGAATGTGATGGAAAACACGTCTGATGCTTCAATAGGCATTTGTGTAAATTGAGACTTAATAGATTTAAGTTCATGTAACTCACTGAATTTCAAATCCAAAATAAAGTAACTTTTCTGAAGCGAAAACAACAGTTCGAAATACTTTTGTAATCTGCCCTCTGCTTCCACTTTTTTCCTCCTGCTGTTTATTAAAAAGCCTCAAGAACAGCTTGTGCAAGTGCCTATGATTCCAGACTGTGTAAATTGATACTTGTGTTACTGTGAGATTGCATCACTGTTTGTCCCATCTTCTGTCCCCACTTCATTTTTCAAACAGTCATCTCTTTAAAAATTCCTGATGGCAGTGATCCCTCTGTGAAATGGTTCATTAGAACAGAGGGGATACTAAACATGGCAAACTGGCAGATTTTTTTGAACCTCTAGAGATATTAATAACATTTCTAAACCAGATATATTAAATTTCATGATCTTAGGAATTTTTTCATAACATTCAAGTAGATAATTTACACTTGAGTAAAAAAAAAAAAAAAATAGCTAAGAGGACAAGAGCAGCAGCAACTTTTATTCCATGGGCCCAGTGATGCTAATCAAAAGCAATCAAATAAATAACAGCTTTCAACATCTTTGCTGTGAAAATTCAATTTTATTTTCAAGGAATAAAGAAGAGTTCTGTATGTTTTAGACGCAGCAAGAATTAAATGTTCACATTAACCAGAATGAGCATCAAGAGATTAACAGTACGGCAGACTTTGCATTTCTAAAAGAATGTTTAATCCCGAGGGTACTAGTATAAACACAGACATAAAAAAAACCCACACAGACAGTTTCATCTGTGGTGCCTGGAGAAGATTTATTTAAGTTACATCCTCCCTAAAATGTGCACAGGGATAAATGCTGAACATTATTTCAAAGCTTAGCTTGTCATAATTTACTGGATAAATATCAGCTTATGCTGCCTTCCTGCAGGTCCCTCTAGGTGTCTGAGAAAAAAATCTAACAAGCATATAAGCAGTAACACCTTCAACTTGTACTCAGGATGAGGGAAAGAAACTGTTAATCAAAACAAACACATCGTATAATCCCATGTATGTTCCGTGCAGTTCATGAATGGCTGTATGGTAAGTGCTTGCTTAGTAACAGTCATCAACCCGTTCTTTCTCTAAAATCATTATTTTCAATTACATGAGCTATTCTTAGATCCTGCATAATTATGTCTATGTAGCATAAACCTAATGAAGCAATCCTAGCACTAGGACATTGTTTTGTGAGACAATAATATAGTCTGCACATAGATAAACTAGACACTGATGATCCTTTTGATGACAGAACAACCAGACTATTCTCATATAAAAATATTCTCATACTACTGCCATGGCTACAACAGATATTTTAAAAGCTAATATACTAAATGACTAGCATCAGGAAAACATTCTGCCAGCACAGTGCAGTTATTTATTGATGCCTGCAATTTTTTTGTATTATTATATCCAAGAAGCAAATCACACATCCTGTCCAAACACACAGTATCCATTAGGTTAAGGAAGTAAATGGTGACATGAGCTGAGTCACATGAAGCTGGGCAAAGTAAGACACAGCAAGAAGAAGCCAATGGAACAGAAGGTAAATGAGCACTATTTTCCTCGGCTGTCTTATCTCACACTTTTTTTTTTCTTCTTTTTTTTTTTTTTTTTTTTTT